AAAAAAAAAAGAGAAAAGAATGGAAATCTCTTGCCCTGTCCTTCCAAGCAAAGATAGGTAGATGATGTCCACGACTGTGGCCACCAGAGGGCACCCTAGCCCCAGGAATGGCCCCGCCCAGTCAGCTATGCCTCAGCATCCAGAGATGTCTGTTCCTTGGGCCAGAAGGTGGTAGTGAACTAGCTCAGAAAGTGATAGCTTGAGATTTGATCAGTCAAACAAGTGGACCCTACTCCTCTTTAGGCAGTTAACACCCTGTTGGAACTGAAACAGAGGCTGGGATGTCCCTCCAACTCTACTACTCATGACTGGGCAAGGCATTTCCCTCCGTGGCCCAGTTCACAGGGTTGAAAACTCAAAGTCTCTTCCAGAGCTAACACCAGGACAGAGTTCTAGGATTGGAGATGCATCTTCTCCTTTCTCGTTCCAGCCTGCGTCCACTCAAGCCAGATCACTTGCTTCTATGGTGTATCGATCTTCCGGGACCCTGCATGTCCCAGGCCCCGACTCCAGATCCCCCAGACTCTGCTATGGTTGGGTACTATGCCAGGAGAGTAATGCAGGGAAACAGACAGGCAAAGTCAGGTGGGCAAAGAGCCCCAAAGGGTCTTGATTCATTCAAGGCAGACATCCGGTTTCCTTTGGCTGCTCTGCCGGGATCCAGGGGTTTAAATGAATGAGTCATCGTGGTGGGTATTGGGGAGTTCCCAGATAATCAGCCTGGGACAGGACAGCCTGAATGCTGGATCATTTTGTTTTTATCCAAATGTGGAGTGGACACAGACAACAATACCCTAGGGTGCTGTCCAGGGCTCCTCCTGGCACTGAAGTAAGCAGCCACCTGGGAGCTCATGGGTACAAAATGAGAACAATGGGCTCTTCTTTCTTTCTCAGAATGTTTGTCCCCAGGTAAAGGTATTTTAAGAATCACAGGAGAAGGGTAGAGGGTTAGGGTACTGGCTACCTCTGCATGTCTGGCAGAGGGTAGAGAGATAAGAGCAACTTTGACCTGGGGCCTGATTCTTCCCAAGGTCTGACTGAGTTCCCTCTGTAGCCTCCAGGGCTTCGCCAGCACTTCAACCTCGTTGGACTACTCAGATTAAACACCCTGGAGTAATTCAGGCCTGGGTGTGGCTGGAGGAAGAGAGTTTGGGGGGGACAAGACGTCAAGGAAGGAGCAGAGATTCCCCGATTTCACAAAACTTTCGCAAAACAGCCTTTTCCCAACCCCCTGCATTGTCCTGGGTGAGAGAAGAAAATTTGCATAAATCCTGGGAAGTTATTACTAAGCCTGAGTTGCCCCAGCCACAGGTAATTTCCTCCCAGGCCTTGATGGGGTTATGTATAAAAGCCCCCTGGAGCAAGGCCCTGGCAGAACCCAGAGCTGAAGCTCAGATCACCCAGAATCACCCAGAATCAATCCATGGCTCAACCTTCTGCCCAGAGCCGCAGGAAGCTGATGGGTGAGCGAGCGGCCCTGATTACCTGCCCTGGGCGTGGAAGGGAGGGAGGGAGGCTGGGGTGGCAAGTGTCTCAAAGCTGTACATCTGCTGCCAGCCCTACAGCTGCTGCTGTGGCACAGTGCACTCTGGACAGGACAAGAGGCCATTCCCCTGGTCTCTGTCACCTCTCGGCCACCACCCCTGCCTTGGCCCCGGAGCTTCCTGCTGAAGTCCTTGGAGCAAGTGAGGAAGATTCAGACCAGGAACTCGGAGCTGCTGGAGCAGTTGGTGAGTTAGGCTTGGCAGGTGTGGAGGAAAAAAGCCTGTGTGTGTGTGTGTGGGGGGGCGGACACAGGAGGGCAAATGGGAAGGGAGCAGGCTCGGGAGAAAGAGCAAGGGCAATGTTTGCCTAGTGTGCACAAGGGCCTGGATTCCATCCCCGAAATACTCACAAAACCCTGAGGAAGGGAGCATGGGACATGAAGGGGACATGGAAGAAAATGAAGAGAAGCAGCAGTGGGACCCTCTGGTTGGGACAGTAGCAGGGTCACTGGGAGTCAGGTGGACGATGGGGAGACTTGGGAGGGAGAATCAGCCTGGCCCAGGTGAGTGCCCCTCAGCGTCCCTCTGTCTACAGTGTGCTACTTACAAGCTGTGCCACCCGGAGGAGCTGGTGCTGCTCGGCCACTCTCTGGGCATCCCGCAGGCTCCTCTCAGCCGCTGCTCCATCCAGGCCCTGCAACTGGTGAGTCTTTGGAAGGCAAGGGGGACCAGGAGGAGAATGAGAAGCCCTGGTATTAGGGCTCCTGGAGAGAAGGAGTATCCCATCGCATAGCCTAACTGTCCTTACTGTCCCTGCTGTCCCCAGACAAAGTGCCTGAGCCAACTCCACAGTGGACTCTTCCTCTACCAAGGCCTCCTGCAGGCCCTAACAGGCATTTCCCCTGAGCTGGCCCCCACCGTGGACATGCTACAGCTGGATGTTGCCAACTTTGCCACCACCATCTGGCAGCAGGTGAGCTTCATCTGGAGGGGCAGGGGGTAAGAGTGGGGGTAGGGCCACACCAGCACCCCTGGGCACCCTGGAGGCTCTCAGTGGCCTGTTGTGTGGGGAGCCCGACCTCTATCCCTCTGCTTCCTTGGGGTGAGAGGAATTGCTGTTGATAGCAAGTCCCACAGACCAGCTTATCAACTCCCTACCTACAGTAAGGACTGATCCCTGACTTCATCTCCTCCCTACAGATGGAATCCCTGGGGGTGGCTCCCACTGTGCAGCCCACCCAGAGCACCCTGCCAACCTTCACCTCTGCCTTCCAGCGCCGGGCGGGAGGTGTCCTAGCCGCTTCCCACCTGCAGAGCTTCCTGGAGACAGCTCATTGCACCCTGAACCATCTGGTCTAGGCCTGAGCAAAGCCATTTGCAGCAGGTTTATTTATCTCTATTTAATATTTATGCTTATTTAAACCTACTATTTAAAGACGGAGAAGAGAAAACGGAGCTCCAAGCTTCTAGGCCCTTCTCTCCACTCTTGAGTTTTGTTCTCCTGCTTGTAGCAGTGAGGACAAGCTCTTGTGTCCTCCTGTCCCCAGGGCTGGAGGGAGATAGGTAAATACCAAGTATTGATTCCTGAGGCTGCTCCAGGCACCCAGCTCTGTGGTGGTTACAAAGGGCCACTGTGAGCCCCACCACCCCATTTCAGGGGCCTCAGCAGCATCAGGAGGTCTCCCTTTTGGGAGACAAGACAACCCTGTTTAATATTTAAACAGCCAGTGTTCCCAAACTGGGTTCTTCATCCCTTGCTCTGGTCAGCCAGGTCGCAAGTTTCCCTGTCTGTCCCCATAGGAATGAAGGGCATGGCATGAAGCAGAGGCAGCCAGGTTTGGTCCTGGAATTTACTGGATTCTTTTTGAGGGCCTTGCTGGGCTGGGAGTGCGAGAGGGCAAAGGCAGGAGGATCCGGGTGGGGAGGGTATGGCACAGAACGAGCCCTGCCTGTCTAACCTCCCTCTCAGCCCCACTTGCTCACTGTAACCAAGCTTGAGGATAATAAAGTGTTTTGTATCCAGTAAATGTCTTTCTTCCTTCTTGGGTTTGGCTGATGCCTTGGCCAGGGGCTGGTGAATGAATGTCAGGAGAGGCCAGATACAGGATGATGGTGCTGGGAGGAAGGACACTCCAGCTCACCCTGACCGATCTGGGAGTCACTCTGTATGTCCTGAGCTACATGACAGGGACACAAGAGTGAAAATGCACTGTCCCTGCCTTGAAGCCACAGCTTCTTGGGGAAGATGGATCATGAGTCAGTGGGAGAAAGGGGGCAAAGGGCAGGGGAGGGGACAGATGAGAGGCAGCCAGGGCACACTGAGCATGTGCACAGGACTGGTCCCTTTACCACTGTCAACAGCCTTCCCAAAGCTGTCCACCTAGGAGAATGACACCGCGGCTTTTATAGGCAGAGACCTGGATCAGAACTCAAGTTCTGCCTTGGCTGGCTTTCCCTTAATGAGCTCTATCTCCTTGCTATCATCCTTGGGAGCACTTCCCTGCTTGGCTCCGCTCCTGAGCTGAAGATGTCTGCAAGGGTGGGATGTGGCCATGAAGAGCACTTGCAGTTGAAAGTCAGCTGCAGGCTCCCTGTGGGTCAGAGCTGCCCAACCAGGCCAACCTAGGCACCGTCCTCCACAGCCCTCCATACCACTGGCTTCTCAAAGCCCCCTTGACAATTTCCCTTCCCACAGCCTCACAGATCCATGTCCCTGGACCTGTAGAGTGTGGAGAACAGAGTCCTCATCCTCATCCCTCCAACAATCTTCTGGAACACACAGTGAACTCTGGGCCAGAGGGTGGAGTGTGACTAAAGAGCAAGCCATCCTGCCCTGCACAGCACAGTACAGGGCTTTCACAGACCTTTCCACTTTCAGTGGGGGCCTGTGAAAAACGAGCCTGGCCTTCCACACCTCCTCCCCCACCACAGGACTGTGCCCTTCCCTGGCCACAGCACAAGAGACTTGCAGGGAAAAGATACTGTCCCCAGTCATCCAGCAAAGCTACCAACAGCATTCAATAGCTACAAGGATCTTTATTTACAAACAAAGCAAGAGGGACTCCCCCTCCTGAGTTATAAAAATAAACTTATATATACACTGTGGCCCTATAAAGTCCCTCCTTGGAGTTCAGCTACTGCAAGAATTGGGGCAACCATCGGGACCACTCGCAGTCTTTGGGTACTGGTGGAAAGGACAGAAAACCACAGAAGGAACGGGCATAGTAAGTAGAGGGCAGGAGTGGGTGAGGGCCTCAGACTGGAGAAGCATCCTTGCACCACTGGATGGGGCAGCCTGGGCTCATCCTCACTCCCCCTGCTGGGATGCTGGGGCTGGGACCCCGTCCAGGCTACTCCAAGCTCCTCAGAGTGCAGCGATGGCTTTGGCAGCCACTTGCCGACCGAGGGGCAGGGTGAGGTCTGTGATGGCCAGCACTACCTTGGGGCTGGACATAGCAGACACCTTTACTAGTTCCGACACAGTGGCAAAGGGCATGAACTGCAGAATGCTGCCCCTGCTGTCCTGCTCCAGGCAGTCGACACACTCCTCCATGAACCACTGCACAAACTGGGTGTGGGGGCCGGCGGTGCGGGAGCCCAGGATGGAGGAAATGAGCAGGAACAGGTTGGCTGTGCAGAAGGGAACAAGACAGCAGAGCTCTAGAACAAGTCAGACGAGAAAGAAGGGGACCGAGGAGGGAAAGGAAGAGGCAGTGAGAGCTCACATAGGAAGGCCAGGGAGGGAAGGTGGGGCGGGGGATGGGGGATGGAGTAAAGGGAGGCTGTTAGCGGCCGGTAAGGGAACAGGACAGCACATGGAAGCGGAACAGGATGTCAGGGCCCAGAGGATCCCTCTGGCAGGCGTGGCCCTGCCTCTGACGAGGAGGGGCCCGTGTAGCTCAGTCTGCAGGTAGGCACGGCTGGGAGGACTCACCCAGGACTCTGTTCAGAGGGTCCCTCATGTTGACTGTGTGGAGTTGGGAAGCCGAGAGGGAGCTGTTCATGGAACGGTCAGCTGTGGAGTGGCAGAGAGGGTGCTGCGTAAGCTCTGACTCTAGGGGAGCCTTACCTGTCCCCTGCCATCAGGGGAGTCTGGCACGTACGGGGCACAGAAGAGCCTGAATCTGGAGAGTAGATGAGTGGGAACAAGCCTCTGCGCACCAACCGAGGCTAACCCTGGCACTCTGTGTGGCTGAAGCCACCTGTCCCACTCAAAGCCCATTTTACAGACGTACAATCTGTTTGCTTAGAGCCTGGCTAAGGTCAGAGGTGGTCTGCCAGCAGCTTTCTTTCACACAAGGCTGTGGCTGTGGCCTGGTCCCTTATAAGGCTACAGAGAAAACTTCTAGGCTCAGAAGAGATCTCTGGAAACAGGAAACTTGGATGCCACACAAAAAACTTTTGGCAGAAGGAAAGGATGACATGGGCTGCCCTCTGGATAGGAAGGCAGGAGTGCAGCCCCAGGTCGCAGCCTGACAGGGCCTGTTCTCAGCCACAGGGCATGTCTCTGGGTTAGAAGGATGGCAGAGTGAGTGAGTGAATGGTACAAGCTGTACCAAGGTAGTGAACTCACTGGGTGTCTTGTCATCTTTCAACTGGTGACAAGAGAGGGATAACTGTGGGACTGGGAGGGCCCCTGGAGGAGAACTTCAGGTCCCCACCAGCAGGCAGCAGAGCATCCACTAGGGACAGACGTGGAAGCTGCTGCCACACCACACTGGCTGACAGCCATCAGCTGGGAGCCAAGGCAGGTCCTTAGGGACAAATGGTCCTAGCAAGCCCGTGACCTCCCAAGTGCTCACTGGGACTCGACAGAATGTTGGCATCATCCTCATTGGTGCTCAGGAGTCGCATCAGCTTCGAAGGCTGCATGTCTTCCACGGGGAAGAGGCTGATATAGTCCTGGGGGCAGGAGTCACTGTCACACACCCAACCTCCCAAGTCTCCAAGGACTGGAGACGGCTGGAGGTGAGATCTGAGTGGAGAGGAGTGAGTTTCCTAGTCCCTGGCCAGCATCCCCAGTGGTGGCCCTTCCCACACTCCAATCTCTGCCCTAGTGGGCAGAAAGGACCCTCATCAAGGATACTCAGGGGCCACTCAAGCCACTCCCCCAGACCCTGACCAATCAAAAAGGCCCACACACAGGGGACCTCAACCCCACCCCCACCCTGGGAAGGCAGCTCTCTGCTCTAAGTGATCAGGAAGCATCTCATGAATAAACACACAACCAAGGCGGTGGCAGACCTACCTCAATGTCTTCCCTGTGTCTCTTCTTGTGGCGGGAAGCTGCCTGTCCCTTTTGAGAGGAATAAGAACTCAGGGCGCACCACACAGCTAGTCTGGTGAAGGGTTCCAAGAAAAAAGAATAGTTAAGAGAGTCCCAAAAGAGGCTATGTGTGCTCATGCTGAACAAGCCCCTCCCACCCACCACCACTCAGCGGGCCCCCCAACCACAGCCTGGCTTCCTGAGCTGGCACCAGGGCTGGGGTGCCTGAATCTGGGTGGTAGATGCTTGGGACTCAAGGGGAGCAGACACCAGGAAGGCTCTGGAGAGAATCCTACTTGGCTAGTGCAGTGCCAGGAGGGTCCATGAGGCTGTGCCACTTGGAGGAGTCAGTAAGCAGACCGGGCAGGATGTGGCCCAGCAAGACCAGGGTCACCTGCGGCAAGTCCAGGCAGAAGATGGAGTAGAGTAGCTGTACTGCCCTCAGTGTGTGTTCCTTGCGAGTCTCCTTCAGCAGCTCCTGGGCAGTGGGCAAGCAGCGGCTAAGGCACTGCACACCTGGGCCCTAGGGCTCTCATGCTCCAGCCACTCTACAGTCAAAGGTGCTATCCAACTCCAACCGAAGGTGCTTCTCTGAGGTGAGGTCCCTACCTCTGTCTCCCCCGGAGACCACCCAGCTTCCAGCAACCTCCCAAAGAAGCCTGGCCTACCCCAACTGAGGACACCCATGGCCCCAATCTACATAGCTGTCCACATCCACCCTGGCCCCAGTACCTTAATCAGGTTGTTGCAGAACCAGTAGACGCCGCCCATGCGCAGCAGGGTGTCTAGGATATGGATGGAGCGGCTGTCCACCCAGCCCCTCTCCAGCACCTTGGCAAAGATGTCTGTCAGTACCTCCTTGATGGGGCGCTTGGGAGGAAGCAGGTTCCAGTAGGGCATTGTGTCCACGCCCGTGGATGGAAACTTGATCTGTGTTGCTGTCTGCTGAAGCACGTCCGCACACATGTGTTCCAAGATTGAGTTCATAATCACCACTCTGGGGGCAAGGAGGATACATGCAGGCATTACCCCTGGAATTAGGTTACGGAAACGTGGCTGGGGAATTAGACCCACTGCACACTAGGGGAGGACACGATACAACCACTACTGACAAGGAGCTTACGTGCTCCGCATGAAGCCTAGAAAGGCACAGGGCAGAGATTTTTCTCTTGCAAGTTCCATCAATATATTCAGATTTTCTGTTCTCCCTCTCCCGCTCCAGCCTCTCCCATCCCCCAGGACTGAGCTCTGCCAAATCAGGGTCATAAATAAATACAATCACTTCCCACTGAGTACTGGGGGTGGGGGGATGTCCCCGCCCAGCCTTGGCCTCCTCCCAAAGTAAACTGTAACTTCCAGAAGAGGCCCTTGGGCAGCCCCCAGGACTCTTCCCAGCCTTGGGTAGCTGGGCAAAGTGTTCACAGCCAGGAACCCTCTCAGGAACATCTGGGGCTATGAAAGCAGTGGGGATCGGGGCACAGGGATGCTGCTGCTACTTTCAGAGCTCCTCTCCACCTGCACAGGAGGCTCTGGATTTCCACTGTGCCCGTGTACGTGTATGTGTGAGTACATATGCATGCATGTGCGCAAGCACACATACACACATACGTACACATGTACACACACACACACACACACACAC